ATAACAAAAGACGCAAACAAAAAATCAAAAGATGCCCAAAGATACTCAAAAAATAGTCCCCATATTATTTTTCTGCTATTTCTTAAAATATTCCCCCTGAAGAGGGATAGGCCCGACTTAACCCTAAACGCGTGAACGGAGACGCTGGCACTGTCGGACTCACACGAGCGTCCCTCAAGAACGTGGGACCCTCCGCCGGCGAAAACGCGCAGAACATCCAGGGGGTACCATCCCCAGGGTGCTCAAGAACATCCATCAGGCACGAAGAACATCGGGGCACCCTCCCGGAACTGACACTCGATCTTCTGCCTCGGTCCGGCTGTAAACTAAGACGCTGGTGCGCCCGAGAGACCTGCAGCCGTGAGTCGGAGCCTCCTCCGCCATTTGGCAACACGAACAAGCACCAATGCGGCTACGCCCCCAGACGTCTCCCGGGTGCGGTCTGACCAGAACTTCCAGGCGAATCGAGCGGTGGCGACGAGGGCCTCCCAGGAGGCCCAAGGAGGCGAGAGCGAGGGAAGGGTAGACGTATCGGCACCTCTTCCTCCTCTGACCGTTCGCTCTCTCCAGGTGGGATGTTCAAAGTCCTGGTCAGCAGTGTCCTGTGTTGGGGGTCGGCTGCACGCAAGAGCGACCCTGAGGCAAGAGTGACCTTCTGGTGCGCGGCTGCACGGGGGGCGCAGGGTGGCAAAACCTGGCCGCGCAAGGTCCGCTGCTGCCGCCACGCGCTCGGCGACCGGGGGGGCCCATTTGGGCCCGCATCACAGGTCCCTCTGGCGGAAGGTCACTGGTATGTGGACCCCCACGACGGCCCAAGAGGCCCCCAGGACGGCCCCAAGAGGCCCCCAAGACGGCGCAGGAGGCCTTTAAGACGCCCAAGGTGGCCTCCAAGGCGGCCCTGGAGCACCCCAAGAGGGCCCCAAGGCGGCCCAGAGAGGCCATCCAAGCGGCTTCCGACGGCGTCAGGCGGGCCAGGAGCCCACCAAAACGGCCGAAGATGGTCTTAAGATGATACGGAACAAATGAATGCAATGCCGAACAGCAAGTGTTATCCAAAACCGACAGCGGCCGCTGATGGGCAGGCGGATGTTGCCTCCAGGGAATCACGCCCGCGGCGGCGCGGACAACGGGTCCTGTTCAAAAAGAACAGGAACTGCTGTTGAGCATTGTAACCCGTTCTTTCCGTACCCATCTCGATCGTCCCGATCCTACGCCTCGTCGACCTAGGGTCAAGTCGGGCGCGTCCCCCTAAGGGCCGATCTTGGGCGAAAAATCAAAGAGATATCCCAAAACTGCCCAAAATGAGTCAACAGCTGTAAAAAAAACGTCCCCTGACTATTTATCGGTGACTATAATGGGTGCGGCTTGCGAAGTGTGCGGTTTGCCTCCCGTCTTATCTTCCCCTCCCGCCCCCGGGAAACGGATGACACTGTCACTCAATGCGATCGAATCACATGACACTGTCGCTCCTCCTAGTACAGTGGAGCTCACATCGAGGATGACAGTGTCGCTCGAAACGACGACAGTTACGACACTGTCTCTCACAAAAAGCCCTGGAAAGGCCGTCACAAAGCAACTCGCAAACCGCACCCCAGCGTAACCGCACCGATTGTAGTCGCCTTAGTCACTGCTTTGAAGATTCCCCATGGATGCAAGACGTGCCTGACGTCCCCCTACAGGCCGATTCTGGGCGAAAAGCCAAGGACACCCCAAACATGCTCCAAAAGAGCCAACAACTGTCGAACAAAAATCGCCCCCAGACGCTTTAGCTACTGGATGAAGATATATCCCCCCTGGAGGCAAGCCATGCCCGACGGAATCTCGCGCCTCGTCGACCTCTTGGGGGCCACTGGCCTCCTGCGCCCCGGGGCCTCCTCGGAGCGCGCACCGGGCGGCCGCGCGCCGCGCGGCGAGGCCCCGCACCCCGCGCGCGGCCGCCCGGTGCGGCGAGGCCGGCGCTCTCACGCCCTGGGCCGCGGGGGGGGGGGCGGCGACGGGCAGGACAGGGCAGAGGAGGAGAGGGCAGGGCAGGAGAGGGCAGGGCAGGGAGGGCAGGGCAGATGAGCAGGGCAGGAGAGGGCAGGAGAGGGCAGGGCAGAGGGCGGGACGGCGTGGGGCAGGGCAGGAGAGGGCAGGGCAGAGCAGCAGCTCGCGCACGGCTGGGGGGAGGGAAGGAGGAGCCCAATCGAGGCTTGGCTCCAATCGAGGCTTGGCCTCCAATCGAGGGCAGGGCAGAGAGGCAGCTCGCGCACGGTGGGGGAAGTGAATGAGGAACCCTCGGACAAGGAATCCAGGGTCTGGAGGCCAGAGAAGCAGCTCACGCACGGTGGGGGAAGGAACCCTTAGGTAAGGAATCCAGGGTCTGGAGGCCGGTGGGACTCCAATCGAGGCTTGGCCATGGATCTCACCGCCGCCCTCATCAGATAAGGAAGCCTCCAGGGCCTGCAGCATCCTGGGCGCGCTCCGTAACAAACGCCCCCACCGTATATGAGGGGGCACTGGGACAAGCAAATAAATAGACACAAGTCCCAGGATTCCTTCTATTTTCCGATCATTTCTGGATTGCCGTCTTCCCCCCCACTTCCCATATTTTCCCATACTTTCCTGGGGGTCGACGATTCATTGTGTCTGTGTGTTCTTCCCCCTCTTGAGTATGGTCGGACCCGGGACATAATCAGATCCTCCAAGAGCATGTTCGGTGGCAACTCACGGGAGCCTTCCATACCATCTCGTTGGCTCTAGCGAATCGGCGCTAGTCGACTCGACGCGAAATCGACGCTAGTCGACGCTATCTCATCGACTCCCAGACGATAATCGACGCTAGAGACAAAATTACGAGGATACACAAGGCTCCCATGATTTGCGACCGAAGCACTGAGATCCTCCGCTGGCCAAAACACACAGAACATCCGAGGGCACCCTCCCCCAGGCTGAGCAGGGACATCCAGCAGACACGCAGAACAGCAGGGCACCCTCCCCGAGCCGACCTCGATACCTCGGGCCGGCCGTGGAGAATATCAGCTCGCGTATAGCTGGTCTTTTTGGGCGCCTCCTGGTGCCGGGAAGCGCCCCTGTAGCGAGGCATGGCCCCGGCGGCGGGGCGGAAGCCAGCTGCGTATGCAGCAGCTTCCGTAACCCCCCCCCCTTCCCCCTCCGACCCTTTCGCGCGGCCCGGCTGGGCCAGGGGGGGGGGCCGCGCCGAGCCGGAGATCCCGCGCCTCGTGGAAAAAGGTCGCGGCGGAAGCTCGCTTTCCAGGGGGGGGCAACATGTGTGGTCCCCGAGCGTCCCGCCCCTCCACGGGGGGAGGAGCTCTCGAGCCCCGTCCGGAGAAGACAGCCGTCGGGAATCGGAGGCCCGCCCGGCCCACCTCTGCCGACGGCACCATCGTTCGGTCGGGCACATCCCCCCCTGCAGGCGGATCTTGGGCGACAAATCAAAAAAATGCCTCGAGCATGCGCAAACCAAATCTGCCAAACCATGTTAAACTCGTCCCCAGACTATGCCTTAACTTTTTCTGGAACGCTCCTCCTGGAGAGGGACATGCCCGACTTAGCACCATCGGGCCAAGCAGGCGCCAGAGCACCCCTCGGCGCGCCAGTCCAGGGCCGCAAGAAGCTGCCTCGGGAGTGGCGGTGCTACCCGCAGTGGTGCTGTGGCGAGTGGCACTGCTGATGCTGCAGTTGTTAGGGGGCAAACAAACCTACCTCGCTTTTGACCACCCTCGCTTCCAAGAGATACCAAGCGATGCCAAACTACGGCATGTACTGGTCAGGCCGCTTGACGAGGAGGCGTATGATATGACTTGGTTTTGCCTGGAAGCGAAAGCGGGGTAGGTAACTCACGCTCTGAGTTGTGCCAGGCGACACTTGGAAGCTGGGCGAGGGCGATTCCCAGAATCGAGCTCAGCACATGACATAGTAAACGAGCTGCTTCCCGGAAGGGGAAAAATCAGAGCGTGAATTACCTCCCCCGCTTTCGCTTCCAGGCAAAACCAAGCCATACCACGCGCCTCCTCGTCAAGCGGCCTGACCAGTACAGGCCGCAAGTTGGCATCGTTTGGTATCTCTTGGAAGCGAGGGTGGTCAAAAGCGAGGTAGGTTTGTTTTCCCCCGAAAAAAACCTTTCCCAGAGCTCCGTTGTAGCAGCCACGGGTTTGCCGGCCGTCGCCCAGCTTCTGAGGCACTCGTGTCGCTGTCCTCGCCGGTGCGGGTGACGGTGTTGCTGCTGGTTCCTGTCGTGCGGGACAGTGGTGACGCTAGCAGAGTCGTTGCTGTTGCGTGTGGTGCCGCGGGTGCTGCTGACTATCTTGCTGCCGGCTCCCGCAGTGCTGGTCCCCATCATGCTGCAAGTTGCCACTGGTGCTGATACGTGGGGTGCCGCCTGTCCCACTGGTGCTCGTCACGTACGTGCTGCGGCTCCCACTCTGGTTGATTGCACTGCTGCTGCTCGTTCTCGTCGTCTGGCCTCAACGATGACGCAGTTGCCCGGGCACTGTCGTTGCAGGTTGTATTGCTACTACCAGTCGTGATGGGAAGTGTCACTCGCGGTGCTTCTCCCATTCGAGTTGGACAGCGTGGGAATCTTGTTGGTCAGAGTATTGGCACGGGTTGCGATGGTGCTGCTCTGCATGGTACAGTAATGCTGGGCCCATTGATGCCGGGTGTCTCTGATGCAAATGCATGCGGTCGTGCTTGTCACAGATGTGCTGCTGGTTCCCGACGTGCTAGGGAACGAGAGTAAGGAAGAGAGAGAGAGAAAGAGAGAAAGAGAGAGAGAGAGTACAAAAGCGAAACTAAGAAAGGATGCCAAGGGAGGGGCAAAAGAGAAAGGACGAGAGAGAGAGAGAGACAAAACGATATACATTGAGAGACAGCGAGAAGAGAGAGGGAAAGAAAACGACAACATCCGGGCGCAGGAATGGTGGAGATGCGCGAAGCGCGACGGCATGAGGATGGTGAGTAATTCCCCCCCACACACACCTCCTATCCTTCATCGAAGCGCGTTGTGGGATACCTGGCTGCTCTGCGCTGCAAGTTGTGCTGCCGAGTGTAACATATGAGATACGTGCGAGACAGGGCTGGCACGGTCCAGAATCTTCGCTCGCGGCCGTCGAGTGTGCACGCGACGTGGTGCCATGCTGCATCGCATACCTCCCAGCTCTCTTGGTGTTATTCGATTTGATATGGCCGTCTATTTTCCTTAACGCCAGGTGTCAGGTCACGATCGCGCGCGGGGAAAAGTTATCCTCCCTAGCTGCTCAGTGCAACTGTCACGAGAAGCATGGATCTGCAAAGACAGTCTCCTAACTAAAGAGAACACTTAGCGAAAGGATCAGATGTGATTGCGCCCTTCCTGATTATCGCGATTACGCGAGGGCAAATCCGCTCCATAATGATGTCAAACTATTGAGCAAATGCAAATCCTTTCCTAACCCTCCTGATCGCTCCGGGCCACCCTTGGCCCTCCTGCAAGGACCTGGCACGGAAGCACAGAGAGGTAGCGCAAGGTCCCTGCAAATATTTACACTGCGAGCTATCCCGTGTCCGCAGCACCGGAGCTCGTCGCGGTCGTCGCCCCCGTATCTTGTTCATCGTCCTCGTCCTCGTCCTCCTCCTGGTCCTCCTCTTCCTCCTCCTCCTTCCTCCTCTTCCTCCTACCCGTCCTTACCCTCCTTCTCATCCTCCTATTCCTCCTCCTCCTGCTCCTCCTCCTCCTCCTTCTGCTCCTCCTCTTTTCGATCGATTGCCTCAGCCTGTCCATGCCATGATGTACGAGCAGCATGGGTCTGTGACCAGACCACCTGCTCGCGACAAGGGAGAGGTCAGAGGACGTGGCGTAAGTCTAGAACATATTTCATCTGTGAGCAACCCCGTGTGCGCAGCACTCGGGATCGTCGCGGCTGCCGGTCCAAGATTCAAACGCTGGCAATCAAGCCATAACAGCTCCCATGTACCCTCCGGCCCAGCCAGCGGTCGGTCGACTCGCAGCCGCCTGAGCGGGCAATGAGTTGACGCCCGCCCATCAAGTCTCCTGTGTGGTTAATTATCTCGGCCGCTCGGTCTCAGGACTGCGTCGGCGTGACCGAAGGCGCGAGCGCCGCGAAGGCGAGGGCCGACACTGCGCCGGCGAAGCTAAGTGCTGCGTTGTGCGAGGCTGCGCGGGCGCCGCTCGCATCTTCACCGCCGCAGCCGCCGCAGCCGCCGAGGCTGTCAATGTGGGCGGTGCACTCGTCCAAAGTGATGGTCCAACACCGCTGCGTCTCCACGAATAAAGGAGAGCAAGAGCCGCAGCCGCCACCGCAGCCGCCACAGCCGCAGCTGCCGCAGCCGCCACAGCCGCAGCCGCAGCCGCCGCAGCCACAGCCACCGCAGCCGCAGCTGCCATTGCCGCCACAGCCGCAGCCGCAGCCGCAGCCGCCACAGCCGCCGCAACCGCAGCCGCCGCAACCGCAGCCACCGCAGCCGCAGCCACCGCAGCCGCAGCCACCGCAGCCACCGCACCCTCCGCAGCCACCGCAGCCGCCGCAGCCGCCGCCGCAGCCCGGGCTGAACACCCAGCTGAAGCACTTGACGCTGGCCGTCTGCACCGCAGCACTCCCGCAGCCGCCACAGCCTGGAGTCATGATGCTGTCGGTGAAGGCCTTGACCATGACATTGGTGGTCTGGTCGCACATGTTCTCGAGAAGCTTCTGGGCCATGGCGTTACCTGCTTGGTCGAACCTGAATGCCAGCTCGTACCCCGTCCCGTTATCGGTCTGCAAAATCATGCCGAAGCCGCTGTTAATGCAAGATGCTTCTTTCATGCACATAACGCTGTGGTCCCAAGGACTGACGTCCATCTCGGCCCCGTCTATGGCGACGTGATTCGGCATGTCCCAACATTGAAGATCCACCAAGTAGCCGATGAACTCCGTGTCACTGCCGCAGCCGCAGCCGCAGCCGCCGCAGCTGCCGCAACCGCAGCTGTTATTGCCGCCGCAACCGCAGCTGCTGGCGCCAGGTGCCGGGCACGAGGGCAAGTGTGGGGGCACAGACAGGCGACGAGCCTTCACCTTCTTCAAATTCCTAGACATGCGCTTGAAGATTGGGTGCTCGGGACAGCCCGGCAAGCCAGGCGCGCACTTCTTGCCCTTGGCATCCTCGAACCCCTTCAACGCGCCTGGCCAGCTGCTGAGGCAGGGCGGCAGGAACGGTGCGGTGGCAGTGAGGAAATAAGCGTACTCACCGTTTTCCATGGTCATGCCGTGGCATTCGTCCAGCTCGCTCGCGGCGTCGCGCTGGGGCGAGCGCAAGATGCCGCCGTGCTTCGGGTGGTACGGGTTGTAGATCGGGGAGCCATCCACCGCGGTCCCGACTCTGACGGAACCGCCATGCTGGGGCCAATTCAGAAACGTGGCCCAGTCCTCGCCATGCCACCACGTGTGCACCTCGGGCACGGCCGAGCCCATAGACTTCAGGAGGCAGATCGGGGCCAGGTGGTAGTGGTAGTGGCCGAATCTGTCGCCGTGGCCGCCGCAGTCGTCGTACTCGTGGACGGGCTCGCGGAAGGACAAAACGCCCTTCGCGTCGCGCTCGTAGTGGTCCGCCACCAGCGGCACGCCGTTGGTGGCGAGGCCTTGAGCCGCGCCAACCATCGCGAACAGTAGCGCTGCAAACAATTGCCGCGCAAAGAAAACAAACAAAAAAAAAACAAACCTACAAAAAACAAAGAAAAAATCAAAACAACAAAAAAAAACAAAACAAAAAACAACAGCAAAAACACCACAATTCCCAACATAACAAAAAAAAACATCATAACCATGGCCGCGCGCAGGAAGCCGATCCAAACGCGCGAACGCACCTGCGCAACGCAACAACACGTCGACGCGCGCATGGCGCACGCACCGGCGCGCTAAACCGCAAGCCGCGACCACGCTGAACCGCGGAACCGCTGGCAACGGGCCGCGCTGCCCACGAGCATGCGCACGACAAGTCGCGCGACGCGCTTGAAAGCAAAATACCCTGGTGGGCCTCAGCGGCCCCCCGCTAAAACAGAATCGTTCCAAACGTAAGCCATGATGGCCGAAGTCGCGGGCAAACCGATGCGCAATTGGGGCAGCGGCAAGACCCGAGACTTCGCAACAAAGTCCAGGCCCCCCACTGCCGCCCGACCGCCCTGGGAGCCAACCTCCGCCCAGCTTGCACATCACCCTGGGCCGCCTTCAATGGCCCCCCCCCCATAGCAACACCGCTACCGACGACCGACGATCGACAAAGATCGCCAGTGTGGCAACCCTACGGGGTCGCGCCGTGCCATAGGCCCAAATGGCCTTGAGCCTCGATCCACCATTGGCAAGAATGAGGGAGCAGAAGAGGAGGAGCGCAACGCGGTCGTGACAATCCAAAGCGCACTGCCAACAAACCGAATTACAGTCAAACGGCTGGGAAATGGCTGAAGGGAGGAGGAGGAGGAGGAGGAGGAGGAGGAGGAGGAGGAGGAGGAGGAGGAGGAGGAGGGGGAGGGGGAGGAGGAGGAGGAGGAGGAGGAGGAGGAGGAGGAGGAGGAGGAGGAGAGGAGGAGGGAGGAAGAGGAGGAGGAGGAGGAGGAGGAGGAGGAGGAGAAGGAGGAAGAGGAGGAGGAGGAGGAGGAGGAGGAGAAGGAGGAAGAGGAGGAGGAGGAGGAGGAAGAGGAGGAGGAGGAGGAGGAGGAGGAGGAGGAGGAGGGGGAGGGGGGGAACACACACTGGGACAGGCATGACGCGGATGGCGAGGACGGCAGCGGCTGGGGATCGGAGGAGGAGGGGAAGGGCAACTTCGACGACGAGGGAATCGAGAAGGCAAGAAGCTGGGGAGCTGGAGGAAGGAACGCAGGCCATAGCTTCACTCTCTCGCGACTCATCCTGAATCCTCGTGGGCGACCGCTGTGCAAGGAGGACCGCGACCCGCGAATAACGGCAATATCCGCGAAGCGCGAAACTCGCAAAACCCATCCCCACCCCACTGTGCGAAACCAATGCGTCGAGCTGCGTCTCGCCGTGGTGACGACGTGCACCCCCGAGGCCCGCCGACCGGTGTCTCAAATGGCCTTCCCCACCATGACACTCCTGTCTCAGATGGCCTTCGCCCCATCGAGTCCGATCGTCTCCCTCAAACTTGTTTGCGCGAAAGGAGGGTAGCGTGGTAGTGCACACACGCTGGTACATATACCGTTTTAAACCGTTTTCCTATCTACGGGGTCGGGGTCGAATTATTGTGCCTGGAATTCCCTGCATTAGAGCGTAACCCAACAATGTTGCACGCAACTCAGGCACGAAAGGCCGCGAAAGCGGCACCAGCCTGTCACCCCGAACAATCACTTGGGGCCACTGCTGGTCTGAATAGCGCCGAATGACTGCACGTAGTTCTTGATGCTCACCGGCAAGCAGTCCCAGGAGTCCTCGAACGCCGACTTCGAGTGGGCGGATTCCAGGGCAAGCCTGGCGGTCTCCTGCTGCTTGTATCCGCGGATCTTCGGCCACTCCACCTTGATGGTGTAGAGGGTGAAGGTCAGGGACACGAGGACGAGGGCTGCCCTGCGCTCGTCAGCAGCGGCCTTGATCGTGTCCGGGCTGATCACTGGGGCGTCTGCATCACCGCGGTTGAGGTCCTTGGCTTCCTTTATCATCGAGGTCAGGGCGATGGCCAAGGGCGTGAGCTGCTGGTAGCCTTTGTTCTCGAGGAGGGACCGCACGAAAGTGTTGTTGCTGGGCGCGAGGATCGTGTCTGCCTTGGACTCCCACTCGATCAAGTTGCCTCTGATAGACACCGCGAGGCCTCTCATCGCCTCGCCCCAGTGCTTGCCGCACGTCTCGATCACGTGCTTCGACCACGCCGTCAAGCGAGCGACCCACTGCGTCGCCTGCAGGCCATCGAACTCGGCGAAGTGAAAGACCTCCTCGCCAACTTCAGCGCGAGTCAAGAGCGCCGCCGTCAGGTCCTGCACCTTGACCTTCTTGGTCGCGAAGGTCACGAAAGCTTGGAGACTGTCTATCGCCGCTCGCGCGGCTACGACCATACCACGGGAGGTGCTGTCCAACTTAAGTTTCTCCATGGAGCCGCGGCCCTGCTGCTCTCACCGCGCCAAGATGACCACCGCCATCGTGGCCCGAATGCCCTTGTCGAGAAACGCAACTTGATTCTGCAATCTCTCATCGTTGGTGGCGACTGCAACGGCGTTTGCTGACCCGACGCGGCTCATGATATCACAGTCAGTGAGGCCTGTCCAGAATGGCAGCGTGGAAGCGCAGTCCGCAACCGTGCCCATTGGCACGGAGAGGGCGGGTTCTAAGGCCCCTTGCCGGGCCCCCTGTTGAGCCTCGGTTCAAATCTCTCGGGGCTTGTCGATGTTCCCTGGGGCCCAGCGCACAGTGGCACATGACTTTAGCGATGGCCATTGCTTAACGCCCCTCGCGAGGATCATGGCCCCCCAGAGCGGGGCCGAGATCGACGGCCTCCAACCCCGCCCCAACTGACCCCCGAGAACCCTCGAGAGGCCACCCAGATGCCCATAAGAAGCCCCGCAAGGCCCCAACGAGGCCCCCAAGAGGCCTCAAGGAGGCCCCTATAGGCCCCACAACT